GAAAGCCATGCTCTCAAGGGTGAGAATGTTCAGTTGGGTACACTCCAACAAGTTACCTCCCCCATCTCGTCTCTGCCTCGCTTCGGCCAAAACATGGATGTTATCATGGTCATTGGTGGTGTGTCTGAGGGTGGTGATTACTTGAGTGAGTGTGTGGGGTACTTTATTGATGAAGATAGATGGGTGAATTTACCGCACATACACAACCATCTTGATGGACATGCTGTGGTAGTAACCGAATCCTATCTTTATGTGGCAGGTTCCATGGAGCCTGGCTTTGCCAAGACCATGGAAAGGTATAACCCAGGTAGAAATGTTTGGGAGCAGGTTTCTAATCTGATAACTAGGAAGCATTCTTTTGGACTTACTGAGGTAAAGGGAAACCTCTACAGTATTGGTGGGCATGGGAATTTTATCCCTGGTTTTAAAGATGTAGCTGTCTACAATCCTGATCAAGATAAGTGGCACAACTTGGAGTCTGCACCAAAGATACTCCGGGATGTTAAAGTGATTACAATAGATAACAGATTTGTTTACATGGCAGCTCGCACACCAGTTGATGGAGATAATGAAGATGGCTTGAGGTCTTTCATTATTCGCTATGATGCAGACACACGACAGTGGCGAGATTGTGAGTCTCTGCCACTCCTTGACAACTATTGCTGCTTCCAAATAGTGGTGGGCAATACCAATTTTTACCACACCGCTTCATGTTGTCCCAGAAGCTATCCTCTAGACCATGAAGAGGCCAAGAGAAAAATCTCTAACCAGGTATCTGATGACATTCTGGAAAGCTTGCCACCAGAGGTTCTTAGCATTGAAGGGGCGGCTATCTGCTATTACAAAGATGATATCTTCATCATAGGTGGGTGGAAGAACAGTGATGATACTGATAAACAGTACAGAAAAGAGGCCTACCGCTATTGTGCTGAGAAGAAGCGTTGGTTGTTACTCCCTCCTATGCCTCAGGCTCGCTGCCGTGCTACAGCCTGTCACGTGAGAATCCCCTTTCGGTCCTTACATGGTACCCAGAAATATCCAATGCCACAAAACCTAATGTGGCAGAAGGACCGGATCCGGCAGATGCAAGAGATACACCGACATTCCTTAAGTTTACGTAGGATGCCTCGGTCTCAGATAGAATGCTAGCTTGAATAAATACATCAGAAATACTCGTCTGTAATTGTCATGCCTGACATGGACTAATGGTCACCAAAACTGCTGAAGCGTTGGAGACAAGGCTTCTTAGGGTTAAGTATTTGATGTGGATTACAAGCACCACATGGAAATTTGNACACCGACATTCCTTAAGTTTACGTAGGATGCCTCGGTCTCAGATAGAATGCTAGCTTGAATAAATACATCAGAAATACTCGTCTGTAATTGTCATGCCTGACATGGACTAATGGTCACCAAAACTGCTGAAGCGTTGGAGACAAGGCTTCTTAGGGTTAAGTATTTGATGTGGATTACAAGCACCACATGGAAATTTGATGTATACTAGCCATAAATATGAAGGTAAGAAGACATAGAAAACCCTTAGAGCCTGTTGGTTTCTCCACACATATGACCCACATAAAGAATCCAAAATAAAAATTGTTCTTGTACGTTTTGGATTTGTTCAGATAGTATTAAAAATTCAGCACAGCCTTTTTCTTTACATTTTTGAAATAGACTTGTTTTTTGTGTTTTGGGTCATCTTTAAACATACAGGTCATGTGAAGTATTTCAGTTTATTCTAAAATGCTAATACGCAAAGGACCATTTCAAAGTTTTTTTAAGTTATTTTTTGCAGAGGAATTGTTTTTAATCTGTTCTGAATCTGCTTATTTCTCTGAAACTTGGAAATGTGCAATAGTTAAAAAAAACCTTTTAAGAGGAATAAAGCACAAACTTTCTAAGAACTTCAAATGTTCCATGATAATGTTTTATAGTTTTATTTATCTAAAATTGTTTGTTGTTAAAAAGTGTTAGTAATTAATTTTGCTGGTTGGAGCATTCACAATTATGATGAAATATTTCTGAATCCTTTAAGAGCATACTATAATTTTTAGTGATGACTGTTCATCCTTTTAGTAGCCGCACTTTTTCTCATTAATTAATTTTTTTCAGTTACTTAAGAATTGTGGCCTTACAAATGAATGGAAAGACCAAAAAAAATCCCTAATTTGTAATTGAAGCAATTGGGAATTCATTATGCAGGGTTAAAATTGTATAAACTCAGGTGTCAATTTCTGGGTAAATAAGTCTAAGTACCATTTGAACTATTTTTAACAAATCCATTTGTCTTAATGTGACACCATTCTTTGTGTGGACAATAGGGAGTACAAGGCTGTTCAATTGGAAAATTTGCCTCAATATTCTTGACTTGAGAGTCCACATAATCCAAGTCTTATCTTTTTGTAGCATATAAAATTTATTCCCACTCAAGTAATTCGTATGATTGAGATACTATAAATTATTTGCTGCTTTCTCTCCACTCTCTTCTAGCCTAGTAGCATGCAGAATCCTATTTTGTAAGTTCTGGTAGTTTTATGGAAGACACAGAATATATTCAGATGATATAAATATATTTTTATTGGTCCAAGGAATATTGAAGTTTTGGAATTCTACAGAGTTGTTCAGACAGAAAATCCATATCAGGCATTTATGCAGTATTTGATGATAGCTTATTGATCCAATAGAGTATTTAATTTACTTTATAAATTCTTTTCCATTACAGATATATTTCCCAAAGTGTCAAACATGTTACTCATGAAATCATCCTTGCCTAGGTAGAGCACCTCTCCATCTCCCCTTATGGCCTTGTGTCATAAATGTGGTAAATAAAGACATAGTGATGGCAATATCTAAGATATCTCAGGAAAAATCAAGATCTGATGCATAAGGTCTTCAAACGGTGTATAAATAGAATCCTCAGATATAGATTTTGCCTCTTCTTCATCTATAAATATTTTCTGAAAAAGATATCAAACACTTAAGTTCATCTAGGTCTGCTATTATCTCTCTTGCTTTTTCTTCTCTTTTAATAAGTCTGGATTTATTGCTGGGAGCACAAAAATGAAACATGGAGATGAAATCAATATGGGAAAGATCTGCATTGGGCAATATTATTGATGGTGTTTGGTAAATATGTCTTAAATTTTAGAAGCACTTTTTAAAAAATATTGTTTTCCAATTTAGCAGGAAACCTAATTCATGTCTGAGATACTGGGGTAAGTGTTGAAATTGCATGGATGTGTGGGTTTTCCTAATTTATCTTTGCCATCCTAATATTTTTTATTATTTAACTGCATAGTGGATGGGGGCATGGTTAAACCTATGGGCTGCAGTAATTATCCTAATATCAAATTAAAACTAATGTGTTCTTGTACCACAGTGTCACAAACAACAAATCAATTATGCCGCTTGCCGCCTTAAAGATACTTTATTGTTACCAGCCACTTTTTATGGTGTAATAGCTGCTTTTTATGGTATAATAACTGATTTTCTGGAAATCGTTTGACATTCCAAAGCTGCAGGGATCTAAACTCCCTCTCTGAAAACTATTATCTGAAGTACTAATTAAGAAGTACCTTTCTTAAGGACATTATCTAGCTCCAAGCCTGGACACATTTGTGTGGAAAAATTTAAAATTGTTTAATTTGGAGTATAGTTTTTCAGTCTGATGTTTTTTTTAGATATCTCAGCATTCCTTTTAAACATAATTAAATGGATTAAGCTTGTAGTATAGCCATGTCCCTATTAAACACTTTGAAAACTTTGTAGTAAGTATAGCTGGCATTCATTGCAAATCTTTGCCAAATCGGCACAAATAAGTTAATGTATTGACTTAAAATGCAATTAAAATGCTTCTTTGAAATTCTTATTTAGTCTAGCTAAGCTTTGTATTTTAAAATCATAAGTCACTTTGGATGCTGCTTGTGAATGAAGTCACAGCTATTCAGTGCTGTTCTTGGAGATTTCAGTTTGCATGTCAAGTTAAGAGCACCCTAGTGAGCAATTGCATAGTATAATATGTAGCTTGAAATGTCGAAGTTTCTTAATGTAGTGTTTGGATATTACGCTACTAACTTGCTCTCCTGGTCTGAATGAACAACTCTGGCCTCTATGTAAAAATCTCTTTAGTTAGTCATGACAACCTTGTCAAAACTGCCTTATGACAAAGGGAAATCCTCCAACAGATTATCAAAATATTTCCATTTGGAATTATTAACACATCTAGATTATGTTTCTTGACATATTTGAGAGTTTCAGTTAAATGAATAAGACTTCTGCTTGAGGAAAATAATTAAAATATGTTTTGTTATTTCCTGCAACCAAGAGAAATTGCAGTAGAAATGTTCAGAGACAGACAGATTTCAAAGCTACATAGGGACTTAGGAAACAATATTTTTTTATAAGTTGCTAATTTTCTACTGACAGAATGTATGGTTCCACAGTTTGCCTTTATTTTATGATCCCGCTGGAGTATATTAAATATTTTTATAATAAACACATTATTACTGCATAATACTGCGTGAAGGTGATATTCATAGGCACATATTCTTCATATACAGTATTTGATCTCTTGCTTTGTATTCAAAGCACCTTTAACAATGAAGGTAATTAGATATATCAGTGCAATGTTATTAAGGTGCAGTTAGTCTTTTACTTACAACTATTTGGTTAGCAACTGTTCAAAGTTATAATAGCACTGAAAAAATTGACTTACAAACTAGTATGCACACTTAGAACACTCACAGCATCCCCACGGATACCTGATGAAATTTCAGGTGTTTAGTAATTGGCATGCAACATTCCAGGGTCATGAAATTGCCAATCATGTTCTTCCCAGCCAGCTTCCTACAAGCAAACAAAGGAAGCCAGATTTGCATAACAACTGCTTGATTCACTTAACTGCAATGATTCACTTATGAACTGTGGCAAAAGAGGTCATAAAATTGAACACGTCTCATTTAATCGCTTTGCTTAATAATGGAAAATCTGGTCCCAATTGTGTTTGTATATCAAGGACTACCTGTAATCTGTACAGTTTTGCCACAAATAATATTGGTTGTTTTCATAAGCTCTACAACAAAAAACATAGTATCAAAAAGATTTTTAGTTAGTCACTATTTAATCAAGTGACAAGTAATTTGCAATAGTTGCCACAAAGAATGACAGTTATAAGCGTCTTTCATCTTGAACTCACATTGCACAAATGACACTTGATGAGGGGAGAGTAACTCAGGAGAAGGTGGAGTTTTCCTCATTTGAAGGAAACTGTAGTATCAGCTGTTTTGTAGAGAGTTTTGGGGAAATATAGAAACAGCAGATTTTAAGCTTAGTTTCTTTCCCATCAATAGCTTTGCAATTCTAGCAAGGGTTTATTTGCTTACAATGGTTGTAAATCTGTGAATGGTACAAATTGCTGCTCAGTTGGTATGCCAAGTTAGACTTGTGGATCTCTTAATTTACTATTATACTTGCATGTCACATAGCGTGCCAAGCTAAAATAAAGGTATATATTTGTCTTTAATTATGAAACTTTTCTGAAGGCTATCTCATTAGATGCAGAATTGCAATTGCCAGCTTCTGGTCTTCTCTAAATCCAATTAAAATAGTAAAAATATAAATATATAAATATAAAACATTATCAAATACAAAATTCTTTCTCCAGGAAAGATTAAGAAACCGTAAGATAATTTTCTGTTTCATTTTTCTGTTGTGATCCCAGTTTGCCTTGGATCTATTCCTCAATAAATGGGTCAACTCTCAGAGTGCAATGTAACTTCACCCCCCCCCCCCGTTCAGTAGAATTCTCTAGATGCTATGCTGAAACCTAAACTTTATTTTTTAAAAATGCAGTTCTTTGTGTTGTATTACAGTTGTGTAACACTAAATACTAATTCAATAAACATTTTATTTCTCTATGTCTTTTCTTCAGGTTGTTATATGTCATTGCAACAAGATAGAAAATGAATGAATGAATCCTTTAATTCAGGATCCATTAATTCAAATTTCTGCACTCCTGGTCTAAAATGGCCCATTTCAATTAATGGCTCTGATCAAGAAAGGACTGAATTAGATAAATAAATCAAAATGCCTTATGGTACAATAGTTTTGGCATTGGGATAGGGAATAAATTCCTGAGAATGTTTAGAAAAGGATTTTTTTTAAAATCAACTTTATATTATGTCTCCATGAGCAAAATTTCTGCCTTTTAATAATGTTGCCAAGGTACAAAATGGAGAAATACATTGTCCTTCTGATCTTGGAACTTAGGTGGTTTACTTAGGTGGTTT